TGGGGTGACAGGGGGACTGGGGGACACGGGGACTGGGGGACATGGGGACAGGGTGACATGGGGACTGGGTGACATGGGGACTGGGGGGCACTGGGACAGGGGGACACTGGGACAGGGTGACATGGGGACTGGGTGACATGGGGACTGGGGGGCACTGGGACAGGGGGACACTGGGACAGGGTGACCTGGGGACTGGGGGGCACTGGGATGGGGCAGCGCAAGGATGAGGTGGCACTGGGACAGGGTGACATTGGGGTGACACAGGGACTGGAGGGCACCAGGATGGGGTGACACCGGGATGGGGTGACACGGGGACTGGGGGGCACTGGGACAGGGGGGCACTGGGGCAGGGTGACATGGGGACTGGGGGGCACTGGGACAGGGGGGCAGTGGGACAGGGTGACATGGGGACAGGGTGACATGGGGACTGGGGGGCACTGGGATGGGGCAGCGCAAGGATGGGGTGGCACCAGGATGGGGTGACATCAGGGTGACACGGGGACTGGAGGGCACAGGGTGGCACCAGGATGGGGTGGCACAAGGATGGGGTGGCACAGGGATGGGGTGATGTAGGGACAGGGTGACATGTGGAGTGGAGGGCACTGGGATGGGGCAGCACAAGGATGGGGTGGCACAGGGATGGGGTGACATGGGGACTGGAGGGCATTGGGATGATGTGGCAAGGGGACAGGGTGGCACTGGGATAGGGTGGCACTGGGACAGGGTGGCACTGGGACAGGGTGACATGAATGGAGGGCACTGGGATGGGGCAGTGGCACCGGGATGGGGTGACATGGGGATCGGAGGGCACTGGGATGATGTGGCAAGGGGACAGGGTGGCACTGGGATGGGGTGACATGGGGACGGGGTGACATGGGGACTGGAGAGCACTGGGATGGGGCAGCACGTGGACAGGGCGGCACAGGGATGCAATGGGACAGGGTGACGCTGGGATGGGATGACACCGGGAAAGGTGGCACCAGGATGGGTGGCACGGGGCGACTTGGGGACAGGGACGGGGTGGCACAGGGACAGGAACCTCATGGCACAGTGACTGTGTCATGGAGACAAGGTAGCAGGGGGATGCAGGGGGGTGGCACAGGGACAGGGTGGCACCTGGGTGGCCTGGGCACGGGGTGGCACGGGGCGGGGGTGGCTTGGGGTTAGGGTGGCATGGAGGTGGGGTGGCACAGGGGTGGGTGGCACGGAGACAGGTTGGTGTGGTGACAAGGGACATGGGGATGGGGTGGCACGGGGCTGGGACATCACAGGGTGGAATGGCCTGGGGACAGAGTGGCACAAGGGTGGGACATCCCAGGGATGGGGTGGCGTGGGGACAGGGGTGGCGTGGGGACAGGGATGGCGTGGGGACGGGTTGTCACAGGGATGGGACATCCCAGGGATGAGGTGGCGTGGGGACAGGGATGGTGTGGGGACGGGGTGTCACAGGGATGGGACATCCCAGGGATGGCATGGCATGGGGACAGGGTGTCACAGGGATGGGATGGCGTGGGGATGGGATGGCGTGGGGATGGGATGGCACGGGGATGGGGTGACATAGGGATGGGGTGGCACAGGGATGGGACATCCCAGGGATGGGGTGGTATGGGGACAGAGTGGCACAGGGATGGGATGGCATGGGGACGGGGTGGCACAGGGATGGGACATCCCAGGGATGGGACGGCGTGGGGACAGGGTGGCCCAAGGGTGGGACATCCCAGGGACGGCGCGGCGTGGGGACAGGGTGTCGCAGGGACAGTGCGGCGTCGCGGCGGGCCATGGCGGTGGCCACGTGGCGCGGTGCCAGCCCGTCCCTGGCTTTGGGGCCTGTCCCTTGGCAGGGCCGAGAAGCCGGAGCCACCAGATTTCTCCCGCTCCTCCTCCAGCGCCAGCAGCTTCGGCAGCGCCGCCGAGGAGCCCAGCGAGCCGGGCAGGGTACGGGGCGCCAAGGGGGGATGCTGGGTGCTGGGGGGGGGGCAGCACCCCTTTGACCCCCCCTCTGCACCCTTAGGAGAAACGCTCGCCCTCGGGGACCCACCGCGACGCCTTCACCGATGCCCCCTGGCCGGATGACCCCCCCGGTAGCCCGCCAGGTAGCCCATCACCGGGGCTTCAGGCCGCCGCGGGGCTGGGGGACCCCCCG